AAACCGTTTCGAAGATTTTTCTTTTGGGATCATTTCAAAAGTGTAATTTTTGATACCTATTTTCTCGGTAAAATTTGGTCAACTAAAGAAACGATATTTGATGTTTTTTTCATTAAAAACTGTTGGTTATTAAATTTTTTCCGATAAAACTTGGCCATTATTTTAAGGATTTGATTAAGTATAATTTTGAAAGAGTTAATTAATTTACTATTAATTTTATCAAATTGATTTCTTTGATAAAGAATCTTAGTACATACGTACATATTTATTTTTTCAAGTAGGATAAACTTCTATTTAATGATCTTAATTTTTCGATAAAAAATTTGGGTTTTTAATTTTTTCTGTAAAAAAATTTGGATTTTTATTTTATTAGTTGATTTATTTTTTTTTTTTTAGGAATAGCTACTAATTAATATTTTTGGTTGTGCCGCTAAAAAAAGTAGGGTTTTTTCCATAAAATTTGATTGTAATTTTATGAATTGATTTTTTTTTTTTGAGAATAATCACTATTTTATGATTTAAATTTTTTGATAAAGAATTCAGGACTGTTTTTGGTTCCCTTTAAATTGGTCGCAACTTTCGCGTTTTTTATTTTTTCGATTAGGGTCCATATATTTGAAACGTTATTTTTCCATAAAAATTTTACCGTTTTTTAGAATTTTTCGATAAAATGTTATAGTTATTTAACTAACATAATTTGTTCGATTAAGAATTTATTTATTTATTTATTTTAGTATGTATTTTTATTTTTCCCTTGAAATTTGATTTTAATGTTAAGAATTTATTTTTTTGATCAAGAATAATCATTATTATATGATTTGAATTTTTCAATAAAGAATTTAGGACTGTTGGATTTGTCGCTCAAACTTGGTCGTTATTTTAGCGTTTTTATTTTTCGATCAGGGAATCTATGAATTTTTGTTTTTCCCCATAAAGTTTTAGCATTTTTGTAGATTTTCTATTTTTTGATAATTGATTTTTATAATTTTTTAAATTTTGCAATGATTTGTGTAGATCAAATCCTATTTCCTATCATAAAATCATAAAAAAATAAATTGGCCGAACCAAGAATACTTTAATAAGTTAATATTTATTTCCTAATTAAATTTTTACTTTATTAAAATATTTTTGTTATTTACTTTTAGTTTGCTCAATTTATTTTTTTAAATTTTTTTAATATAGGAAATAACTTCCGGACTTGATCTACACAAGCCGTTGTAAAAGCTCAAGCTCATTCCGCTGACTGAAGATATTGTCGAAGAGAACCAGGATATCTTTTCAAGAATAAGGGATTAAAATATCACCTGTTAAGACCTATAGAATTTTCGTATCAAATATTTTGTGCTTTTGGAACCGCTCTAATTTCCATTCTCTACCGATAACTACCTATAAGTTAAGTATATCGCAAATATTAGCCGTTAGTATTGCTAATACAAAAATCGAAATAAACTTAGTGACGAAATTAAACAACGGTAGAGGTATCGATAGATTAATCGATAATACTCGGTTATGTATTAAATAAGACAAGTTTTAAAAATATTGAGGAATGCGTGGACAAGAGTATTGATAACGATAACGAATACAAGAGTATGGTTTTCTTTTCATTCGTGACTTACTTACAAAGGTAGTATATTTCATATCAAAAGCCGCGTGGGTATTCTTTTTTCAACACCCCTTTTAAATAAAACCATGTAAATCCATAAAGATTATACATAGGCGTATGCAAGTATTATACCTATGAGCCACATGCACATAGATACATACATACATACATATGTGAGACAATATGCCTAAGCCATTTGCGTAATCATGCAACATTTGCGCTTGGTGGCAAAAGAATCCAACAAATTGCCGCAAACGTAAACCGCAAACAAACGACTACCGCCGACATATTAAATGGCTGGCTTTGGCCAATGGCATTAAAATGGCTGACAAATGTGAGCTGCGTAAATAGCATGCAATTGCCATAAATTCGGAAAAACGGCCGTAGAAAATGAAACTAGAAAATGAAAAAATGAAAAAACGCATAAAGGAAATCAAAGCAATAAGCCTGTATCAAGAAAAAAAAAATCGCTTGGCTAAGAAACACTTTCAAATGTGCGTGAATTGCAAAACAACAACATTGCAATCATGAATTCGAATCAGTGCAACAAAAGTCAGTTATGTACGTTGAGGTTTTCCGCTTTTTATTAGCCGATGCTGTTTTATGATTATATTCGTTTTCGTTTTTTTTTTCAGTATTTACCAGTATTAATCCCCCATATTTATGGCGGCCAGTCAGTCATGTGCTCGTCCGTTTAAACGCATCGACGTGATGCACATGAGGGCATGCATTAGAAAGCGCGAGCAGGTGAGCAAGAACCAAATCAGATTTGTAGTCATGTGCTCGAATGGCTTGGCTTTAAGGTGAAGTCGTTAACACACAGACTTTTTTTTTCTCTATTATAATTTTTATTATTTTTTGCTTCTTCATTTGTTGTCACAGCTGCTTCAGGTGCGATAGCTTTACAAGAACAACAAAAAAATAATAATAAAGGCGCATGCATACATGCGTATGCATGTATGTACATATATATGTAGCACATGCTGTTAGTTGCTGCTGTTAATATGGGCGCAACTGCATCTGCAGTTTTATGTATGTTCATCTACTTTATATTTGTTTTCTGTCTATTATTTACGCTGCTACTCTCTGTTGTTGACCTGTTGACGTTAGGAGGCGCACACAAGCAGGCGCAATTTTTCAAAGTAGTGGTGCGAGTATTCAAAAAATTCGAATGTTAGCATTCATGTATGCTTACTTTTTGTTGCTTAATCTGTCAAATGTATTGCGGCTAATTGTGGCTGGTCGCAGTCTAGACGTTTGTGAATGTACGTACATAACTATGTGTGTCACATGTTGGTGACGTCACGGTTAATTGGACTCATGGCTGATGAGTGCAGCGATCGAGTACAGTATACTATCACGAAATTTTTGATGGTGGAGTGTTGAGAATTTGTGTTAGTTGGAAGCCTTTCTGCTGGAAAATTAGAAGTAGCAATGTGGAGGTTATCATGGGAGGTAACAGAACTTTTGAGAAAAGTATCGATACTACACATTTTCGAAAAAGCAACGATAATACCTGTACCTCCAAATATTTTGGGTGCAAATTTAAGAAGTTAATCAAAATCAGATCACTTTGCTTATATTTGGCTCTTTCTATTTGTTGAATAGACTTTGCTTTTACAAGTTGAAATCCGACCCAGCAAGAATATCTGTACGAATTTTTAAAATAAACTTGCAGTATGTTTAAAGTAAAGAGCTTATTTAAAGCTTACTTTGAATGCAAAGTACAAATGCTAATGAAAAAAACTGAATTCTGTAACCGCCTAAGTCGACTTAAGAAATAATTAAGTTATCTATGCCATGGTTTTGTGTAACTGCTGTGTGTGAAATCTCCATCTCGCCAGCCAGGCTATTTAAAAAGTTATAGACGAACATATTTTGGTTTCCCTATAAGGTTAACATTACAATCCAAATGTTTAAAACGTTTTTTCTCGAAATCAAGTTTTTCGACCTAGGCGATTATTGCTTATGGCCACAGAAGTAAGAAAAAATGTTCCAATCAAAACGCTTGATATGCAATGTTATATTGGTAAATAGGCAAATTACCATCAATTACGTTATTCTATCTATAGCCTTAAGCGAATTAAAAATGGTCGAGTTCAGAGCTTCCAGGTGCATTAACCTCGGAAGTAAACAGGAAAATTATGCTTTGCCATTACGAGAGAAAAACGTGCATGTAGGAGAGTATCGAATATTTTACAAAACAGATACATATTATCATTTAAGATAATACGTTTGGATTCATTCATGAATTGAGTATGTATAAATGCATTTTTCAATTTATTTTTACTAGTGTTCGCGTAGCGGTTGAAATTCAACCTTTTAGATTAAGGGTAGTTGAGGTGGGCTGAGCTGAGCCGATTTGAGTTTAGTTGAGTATTGAAGTGAATTGAGGTGAAATGCGTTGAACAACATAATATATTATAACATAACTTAATATAAATTAACATAACATAACACAACACAACACAATACAACACAACACGAAAAAAAAACAAAAAACACAACTCAACACAACACAACATAACAAAACATAACATAGCATAACATAGCATAACATAACATAGCATAACATAACATATCATTACATAACATAGTATAACATAACATAACATAACATAACACAACATCATGACATAACATAAGATAATATAACAAAACATAACAACATAACATAACATAATCTAACATAACATAACAAAACATCACAACTTAACATAGCATAACATGACACTTTACAGAAAAAAAATATATATATTTTCCTAAATATACACTAAAAATATTCGACCCGGTTTGGTTTTGTTCGAATATCGTTGCACTTCGGCCTCAAAAATCGATATCGGGCCATTATCACTCAAAAAATAAAAGAATTTAGCAGCAAACTTTCAGCTTATACAAAAGCGCTAGCACACAAAGAAACCTACAATACTCACCACACTCACTCCATGCTGTCACACCGATTATGGTAAGACAACTTCAATGCATTTGTACACAGCCAAACCAAACTATTAGTTCAACCAATGATTTATGCGTACGGTAGGTATACGGCGAGAAAAATAACTCAAATGCCTGGCAACACATGCGCAGGCGCATATGTCAACACCACAGAACCAGTAAGCCGATGGAGAGACATACGACAACACACTGCAGTGACATCAGTGTGGCTAATGAATAGCGGTAAAGTCTCTGTTCTGTTGGCAGCTTGATAAAAGCTGCATTTGCTTACAACCACCACGAAGCTTTCTTGGCGGCGCCGAAGTTTTATAGCCGCTGCCGCTGTACATAAATGTACGCTGCCTACAATGCGTCAATTTTTGTCGTCGGCGCTGACGCTTACGCTGGCAATGGTGTGGTGGCAGCAGCGTCTGGTTGATTGGTTTTTTTCGGCGGCACTTGGCCAAAATGTTCAGTTGTTCGTTGGACATATGCCGTTGTGGTGGCAATCGCGGTAAATAACGGTACCTTGTGAAACAGCTCGCTGTTGAATCCCTGCTGAAAATTTGATTTGTGGTGAGGCTGTGTGTCTGCTGCTTGACAGTTTAAAGTAAAGAAAGGAAATAAAACACGCTTGTATTTATGTGCAGACGAGCGAGGAAGAAAAAATGCGGACAAATAAATAGTGTTTTTGTTTGTTTAATGAAACGAAATTTCTAGTAAATTCTAAATATAAGAGTTTAACATCAATGCCAGCAGAGTTGAATAAAAATAAGAGGTCGAAGCGGAAAGAAATATAAAAAGTAAAAGGAAAGTGTGACAACTGGTAAACCACAAAGGTATTAAGAAGGCGAAATTAAGAAAAGAAAAATTCACACAAATAAACAACGGAAAAGAAATATTGCTTGTGCTATAAGCAACTTCAATGTTTTTCAGTACCTTGACAATTGTCGTGCAACGAATTCGCGCTAATTAACAGCAATTGCGACATGCAACAAAACTAATTGTTACCATTGACAAATTGAGCGCGACAATATATAGAATTTGTTGCTAAGCGTGTGGTATTTTGTATGCCGAATTGTGGCCAACCAAGTGCACAACGAAAGACTTTAGCAACGAACTTGCTGCAGTGAAGAATTGAAGTTTTTTTTTTTTATGGAGTTGTGATTGTCTACGTCTACGTTTTACATTTTCATTTAAAAAATTTTAAGTTTTTTACAAAAAAAAAAACTGGTTGCTTGTAGTATTAATTGAACAAAAGCGCATAATTCTTGTTTGTTGCCATAATTGGGTTATTAAATTGTTGTTGCCGTTAACTTCTGCATTGTCACACAGTCAGTCAAATCGGCTTAGTGGCTTTTAATATTGCAGCTGTCATATCGAGCGCTAACAAAATGATTTTAAGGTGAGTTATGACTCTATTGTATGTTTGAATAACTAAGTACATATTTGTAACAATTGAGCTAAGTTCTTGTAAGAACAAAAGCACAATAAATGAAATGGAAGTGTATAACAGAACTCAAGGGCGCGCATGATTAAGTGATTATAACTACATATTTCAGAAGCATTTCAGGTAGGTGTTGGTGCTTCAAATTAATAGTTTCAACAGCGCCTTACCTTGCTCGTGGGGGCACTTTTGTGCTGAAATTACTGAATAAAAAATTGCTTGTGGCGGTATAGTTTTGTTGTATGTGGTTGTTTTTGGAATATTATTGTCGGTGATTTTGACATTCTTTTTTGATTTTTTTTTTGTGACTTCGTACAGAACAGAAATTCAGTGAAAAGTGTCAGTGCGCGCAAGTGTTTGACACACATTTAATCCAGTTTTTTTTTACAGTTCTTTTGAGTATTTTTTTTTTTTTGTTTTACTTAAGCTATGTTCTTCCAATTTTCTTATTACTTACATATTCTAAGCATTGAACACGCTTGTCTCTTTCTCTTCATAATGACTAATTTGTATTCAGGTTGAACTCGCGGTTAGGTGTTTGTTTGTATGAAGGCACATGTAGCTGAACAGGCAGCTGAAGAAGCTGTTTGTGGCAGAAAAATAAAATAAGTAACAGATGCGACAGATAACTACACACACACATATATACATACATATATACATATTAAGTAGCGCCAAGTGGTTGTTGAAGATTTCCACTCTTAACAAATGTCGTTAAATTCTTCTTGTTTGAGGCGTTTTTCTATAAGATAGTTAGTGACGAACACTGTGAACACCTGTAGCTTTTTTTTATTGTTTTTCTAATATAAATATGCGCATTCAATAACATCGCTTATTGTATTTATACAAACTATTTAAATTATAATACTCTTTTTGTCTATGAAAATTGTGAATTTAAAACGACTTTTCGTGTGCAAACGTCACCATAGTTTTTGTGCGCTTCATCTTATTGTCTAATGCAAAATGTATGCTTATGCAACTTATTTCTTTGGTTAACATTTGTCATAAAAAATGTTGTTAAAAATTGCATTGAAAATTGAGTTTTGTAAGCTGTTGAATAACCAAGCCATTTTTATGTATTCATAAATGAGTGGACAAATCAAATCTGTTGTCATTATTGAGAAAGACTACACGGATATATTTTCATAAGTGCAGTTATTCAACTCAATTGTTAAATTTGGGAATAAGTTTATGCTTTTAAAGATATACGCCCAAATTTATAAAAAATAAAGATGACCAAGGCATATCAAACAGGTAGTAGCAGCATAAGAGCAATTTATTGTTACTTTTGATATATAAAGAGTAAAAAAGGTAGCTTCTTTTTTTAAATATCATATTTAGTCGACGAAGTGAAATAATAACAAAAATTGAGACTGTGGACTTTTTTTTCAGAAATTCGTTACATTCCGGAAGCATCCTTACATCCTTTGCAAGTTCCAATAATTAGTGTTTATGATCCGGAGTTAAGCAAACGAAGGCTGGTTTTCAATAGCTTTTAAGAATTTCTATCAAAAAATTAACAATATTTGACAGCTTAGAGACCAAATTATTTGAAAAAAAAAAATAAAATCAACTTTTCTTTTGCTACTACCTCTTTAATGTGCTTTGAAGAAGACTTTACCTGCTTTATAAATCGAAAATCCTTTAAATCCTTTTTGACAGCTCTGGTCTAATGAATTACGAAACAATTGAATTTTTTTTAACAAAGATTTGCGTTTCCGCTACGTTCCTCTGTTAGCTAATTTTTTTTTAAAGTTAACTTCAGCCCCACCTTACTGACCGGGAAATTAAAGTACCGATGACTCAAATGTGCTCGTCTCTATTCCGATTATATACAGATAAGGCAATAATGTGTTCTTCATGAAGTCTGCAGTGCCTTTTTGGCGAAGATCTTTATCATATAAAAATGTCCTTGCCTTGTACAAAATATGTAGTAAGTCTCTGTTAGGGAACATCTTTATATTCGTAGGCAGACACGGGGTATTCAGCGTTATGGCCCAAAGATAAGACAAGTATCGACCTGAAATGTTGCACATTACTAGCACCATCAAAGCACCTCAATGCCGCCCTCTGCTGAGTTCCTGGACAATCCCTACTACCACCGATTTCTGGTCTGTTGAGTAACGAAATGCCTAAGAAGAAATTGAGATAACCGTGAAGTCTCAAGGACCGTATGACCGGGGGTTTAATAAGAAATGAACTGAGGATGAATTGACGTTAAACTAACTTCACGTAAGAATTTTTCCTGAACCATCACAAAACAATGTGACAAGTTTTCAAATTACACCACACCTTTTTTTAATTTACCACTATTCACATTTTGGCAAGTTTCCATTATTTTGGTTTACACATTTTTATTGTTGATACTTAGTTATTATAAAACGTAAATTTTTGCAGCTTTCACAAATGCAACCACTGATTTATTTTATTTTATCGAGCTATTGCTTTAGCAACCAAGTACCTAAAATTCTGTACCGAAAAGCAGCATACAAAATTTTCCCCGATACCGAAATAAACGATATCCCTTCAATAAAGAATAGCACTTTACTTATTAGATACATATACATACATATATCTAACTGAAAACTGTACCCTAACCGATGGTTCATTTTGGTCCGATGAGCATTAACGCTTTACTAAATTCAAGAAAAGTTTAAGAACAAGTTTTAAAAATATTTGGAAAAATCTATTAGTAGAAGATCCGAATATGGCACGAACCTAAATCATCTGTTTAATGGATGAGTCTATTTTGCATGAAATTTAACGTGTTGGTAAATATTTCCTATACTTTATAAGAGCGTACAATTGCTGGCGTATGCCGACGACATCGATATCATCGGTAAAAACAAGGGCTGCGTCTGTTCTGCCTTCTCGGGATTGGATAGAGAAGCAAAGCGAATGGGTCTGGTGGTGAACGAGGACAAAACGAAGTATCTCCTGTCAGCACACAAACAGTCAGAGCATACGCGTCTTGGCACCCACGTCACTGTTGACAGTTACAAGTTTGAAAAAGTAGACGACTTCGTTTATTTGGGAACCAGCATTAACACCAATAATAATGTCAGCCTTGAAATCCAACGGAGAATCACTCTTGCCAACAAGTGCTACTTTGGGCTGAGTAGGCAATTGAGAAGTAAAGTCCTCTCTCGTCGTACAAAGATCACACTCTATAAGTCACTCATCATGCCTGTGCTGGTGTATGGCGCGGAAGCATGGACAATGAAAGCATCTGATGAGGCGGCTCTTGGAGTTTTCGAGAGAAAGATTCTGCGAAAGATTTACGGACCTTTACGCGTTGGTGATGGCGAATATCGCAGACGATTTAACGATGAGCTGTATGAGCTTTACAACGATATAGACATAGTGCAGCGAATTAAAATTCAGCGGCTCCGCTGGCTTGGCCGTGTCATTCGGATGGAAGGCCTCCTCTGCGTTGGAAAGACCAGGTGGAGAAGGACTTGGCTTCACTTGGCATTTTCAATTGGCGTCAGTTAGCACAGAAGAGAAATGACTGGCGTGCTGTTTTGGACTCGGCCAAAATCGCTTAGGCGGTTACAGCGCCAAATAAGAAGAAGAAGAAGAAATATTTCCTGGCCACGATATTTTTAATTAAATAATATGTTTTTTTTTGTATTTTGCATTCACTTGCTTAAAAAACAAATTATTTACCAATCGAAAATAGAAAGCTTGTAAAGCTTATTTTTTGTTAATAAAACGAATGAGTGCTAGATTAAAAAAAAAACTTTTAAATATTTAATTAGAGCTATATTGGCCAGGATTTGTTTAGCCAAATATTTACTAACACATTAAATTTCATACAAAACAGATATAATCCATACATACATATATACATATGTAAAAACCAAGTCAAATGGTGTGCAACCAATTTTTGTTGGTTACTAATTGGCTAAGGCAAATCAAAGTAATTCCAAGTAATATTTTAACATAGGCAACTCCAATTTTAGTTCTATTTATTGTTACCTCTTTCCTTCGAATAGCTAAATTTTATCTAATAACTTCCGCCTTCGCTTGCTAACTATGTATTTACAAGGGCAGTCGCGAACAAAAGACTTAAGCCACGAACTCGTTGTAAAATACATAGCTTTTCCTTGTAAGCTAATGGTAAGGTAAATGATAGAGCGCATTGTATTTCGAACATTTCCACATATTTAACACATACTTACATATGTTATACACAAGTTTCACTCTCATTGCTCGCTTGTGGCTATAGCACATACTTAATTGTCGACACTGAAATTGAAATTAGTAATTCTATGTAATAACGCTACGGCGCCTTGCGTGCACGCTGTTGCAAGAGAAGGTGTCGCGGAACTGTATCAGTTAAGTAGCACATAGTCATGCAAAGTAATTGCGATTTATTGATGTAAGCACGCTTTTAATATTAAGTTGTTTTCTAGCTCAGCTACACAAAAATTCGTATTTTATATATTCGCCAAAAACAAATCAACGCGATGAATAAATGCATTTTTAATGTACATAAATGTGCAGCAAATTTAGTACCAATATGATTTATTTCTTCAATAATTCAATTAAACTTAATTTTTGAATAATTTATGGACTGGCGTGCGACAGCCATCATAGCCCAATTTTTTTTTTTTTTTTTTTTGGCACTCAGTTGATCTTTCAATTTTGGCCTTGATTTTTGCGAATGGGCTGTCTTCGTCCGCCTTCAGTTTATGCACTTACCCGTAGTTGCATTGACTTTGATTTACTTGTCCTCTACTACATGCATACTACGTTGCATATAACGGTGCGCACCTTGACGTCCAGTCACGGATGCGAAATGTACTCAAGTCAACTGCTTGCTTTTTTGCTGCATTCTATGCAGCCTCGCCACTTCGCAGACATTTGGCTACATGACATGGCGCTGGGCGAATGGGCGTGGCGGTTACAAGCGGGGCGTTGCGTTGCACTTCAATATTTCATTCTCTCTGGCC